CATCAATTAATTTCTTAACCTCGGCAATGACTTGTTCAATTTCAACACACATCCTTCTTGGAGCTCGTTTAACTGGGATCGCAGTTTGGTTTATCCCGAGTTTATGAACTACAACTTCTGAAGCGAGTCTGGGCACTTCATCATAACTCCAAGCAAAACAGTCTTTGTTTGCTCTTAGCAGATGAATAATTTCTTTCTCTTCAATGTCGTTAATGAATAAACTAATTTAAGGTGGTTTGGGATCAATTCCAGCTCCCAAGTTTTTTTCTTTCATTTTATCCACTGTTGATTTAATTTCTTCTTCAAATTCTGGGCATGAATCTTCAAATGAAAATGCAGATGTTTGCTCAGAATCAGATCCTGTGATGACAAACAGGCAAAATTCTATATCGTCTAGAGGTTCTAGCATACCGAACCCAATACCTTTTTTTAGAGTTAGGATTTCATTTTCTATTATTTCACAATTGTTCAAAAAGGTAAGATTGGTTTAATGACCAATGTTTAGGCATCAAAACATTTTGAATCAGTTTTTTTAATATACGAAAAATAAAGTTCAACAGGGGGTTCCATTAAATTAAAGAGACTTTAACTGTCTAGTTTTACATTTGTCTTGGAACTAGAAGAAACAGAACCAAATCGTAACTTAATAGGCTTTCTGTTTTCACCATGTAATTCTTTGACCACTAAACTTTAAATCTTAGATGGAGAGATTAGATTTAGGATCATAAAATGTACATAGTGATTAATTTGCTCATACATAGACTCAAATTATTTTTCTTTGTTCTCCTCTTTAAGAGATTTTAAATTGTGGCTCCTTTTGAATCACCAATGTTGTCTTCTCCATCTCTTTTTCTTCTATAGAGTTAGAGTCCAAACAAATATTGATTTTAAAAGGCTTTCTCATTTTGATTATTGGGTTTTCTCTCTCTCGCCCTTGTCCCTGGCCTTGCCCTTGGATGCGAGTTTGATGAGAGTTCTTACTCCTTACTTGTGTGAGAGCAAAGTATGTATGATTTTTCTTTTCCTTTTTATGGGTTTCTTCATTCATTTTCTCTTCCTTATCTTTTTCTTCAACATTTATCACTGTGTCTCTGGAGAATATCTCTTTCTTTATCAGGGCCTAATACACATCGTCTTCATGCATAACAATTTCATGAATGAAGAATGGTTGCAGATCTCCTATAATACAACATTTCTGTCCTTTTTGTAGATACTTGATACAATGATGTAATGATGAAGAAATCATTTTATGCTCATGGAGCCATGGTTGACCAAGTAAAGCATTAAAAGATGTTTCAAAACCTTTGACATGAAACTTTGTTGTTGTCACCAAATTATCCATCTTCAAGTGAAATGTAATTGACCCTACAACTATTTCCCCTTGTTGGTTAAATCTCATAGAATCATTCTATATCTTGTCAGTCTACAAGCATCGAAGTCTAGGTATACGAGAGTTCTTAAGTTCATAATGTTAATCGAGGTACCAGGGTCAATAAGCACATTTATGTAGTCGTTAATATTTACTGTTTTATACATCAGACGATTATGTTCGATCATACCCAGTAATAAGTCATTGCCGGAAAAAGTGACCTTAGTTTGTTTTTCTAATGAATAAGCCTCATTTGAGGAAATACTAATAAATTAAGCGAAACAGATTTTTGGATCTAAAAGGGCATTTAGTAATGATTCCCTCATTTCCTT